ACAGCTGCATAGATTCTTCCATGAAAAACACAAGTCCAAGCCTGGGTACAGGATGGGCCTTGCTTCATAATTTGTCCTTAGGGACCACCCTGAGCAGGAGGCTGTGTGGGCTCTCATGCATTTTACATGTTTTCCAAGAACTTTCCCTTCTAGATTTTTTCACGTTAGCCACCCCACCCTGAATTGGTACCTGAAAGCTTTATAGCATTATAAATAATTCACGGTGTGTTTTAGAGGAAGTCTGTTCTACTGTCCCACTCTCAGATCTGCCCTTCCCTAAGTCAAACCACGTCTGTAAGTATTGCTAAGTGAGCGGTCTGTTGCTTCTTGGTTTTGAGTGTCTGGAAGCTTACTGTGAATTTGCACGGCAGTGATTCTACTCTCAAAGCTTATGTCCTTTCTAAGTCTCCAGCCATTTAAGTGGATAAACTGAGACAGTAATAGCTGCTGTCCTAAGGCCTAAAATCTGATTATATTACTAGCCTCCTGTCCATTCCAACAGAAAGAGGAGCCCAATGCTATGACTGACTGAAATGGAACTGAGCACTGGGCTCTTTTAAGAGCCACCCGGAGGTCCTGGGCCCATGCAGACCTATCAATATAGAGAACTCCTTTTATGATGAGGCCAGGGTTGGCCACCACACCATGAAGACACACTCTCTGGAGAACTTAACACAAACCCAGTGTTTCCTCTGTAGGTGACTTTACAACAATAATTTGTCTTTTTTTTTTAAAAATAAGACTCACTTTCATTTCCTCACACTGAAAAAAAAAAGGTACTATTATAGAGGCTCAGCCCAAAGTAACTTCTGAGTGCAGGTAGGCCTCATTTATAAATGTGCACCTGCCCCAACACTTCCGGGTGGTGGTGGTATAAGTTGACCTAGTGACTACACAAGATCTTTTTTGCCATCTAAGGGACCATGCGGGAGCCCTGGTGATGTAGGGTCTGTGCACTGAACTTCGATCCACAGTGTTAGCAGTTTAGAACCACTAGCCGCTCCTCGGGAGATGGCAGGGCTTTCTACACCCAGCAGAGTGACAGCCTTGGAAACCACAGCGGCAGATCCGCCCTGTCCTAGGGTCGCGGTGAGTCGGTGTTGACGCAATGGCAATGAGCTTGGACTTTTTGGCAGAGATCCTGCTGCTGAAACGCTTTCCTACCCTCCCTAAGTCTCGGGTCCCATATTCTGTCTCGCTGAGTCAGGGGGAACTTTTCTATAGTCAGACTCTCACTGCCATCGAGTCAATTCTGAATCACAGTGACTCTATAAAATAGGGTAAAACTGCCCCTCTGGGTGTCTAAGCCTATAAATCTTGATTGGGAGCCTCAACTTTCTCCTGAAGAATGGCTAATGCCCTTGAACCACTGACCTTGAGGTTAGGAGACCAATGTGTAACTCACTACACCACCAAGGGGAGGGGGGCAAGGAGAGTGATAGGCCAAGTGGCTCTCAACAGGCTTCAGAACAGGTAACACAGGTGGCCAAGTCGCATCTTAAGAACTTCAGGCTCACTAGTTATGGGGTGGGGCCTGAGAATTTGAATTTCAACAAATTACCAGATGTGGCTGATCTGGGGACCACACTTTCAACCAATGGCTTAGGGCACTTGAGTTCCACTCCAGAAACCCAAATCCGTTCTGGGGTAGCTGTCCGAGGTGTCCTCTGTCTGCCCAACCCCACCACCATCATCTCGGTGTGCCTCAACAGGGTTGGTCCATGACAGACAAGGATGCCCACTAAACCAGGGCTACTAGAACTCGATTCATGAAAAGTGCAGAGGGCTTGCTTGGGGATTGCCCTTTAGCAGAAGCTGTGTAGCAGCGTCTTTTAACTGGCAGGACGGGAAGGGGACAGAGTCCCACATGAGCAGCTGACAAGTCACAGCCTGAGAATTCAGGTGCCAACTGAGAATGC